TTTATGTAGTTATTTAGAGAGAATATAATTTTTTTATATCGAAAGAAAAAGTGTTGTACATAAAACTTTAAAATTTTGTTAAAATTTCAAAATTGAACTATTATTATTGTTATTATAAATATATTATTATTTTAAATTTGAAATACTACGATTTTGCATTTAAATTAAATTATATTAATCATTATTTTCAAGTTTAAATTCAAAATATTATTTATATATTAATTTAATTAATAAAAATATAAGGTAGTAATTTTAAAAATAATTGTATTTTAACATATTTTATTATAATTTCATTTTAATTTATTATAAAATAATTAGAATATTTAATTTAACGTCATTAAAAAAATAATCATTATAAAATTTATTCTTTTTAATTTAATTATTTATTATAATACTTTTTAGTTACCGTATTTACCAAAAAATTATTTTTAATTAAAATATATTTTAGAATTTTAGTTAATTCATTATCATTCACTCACTTGATTAAAAAGTGACAAAATATAATTAATTAAAAATGAATGTGTAATTAGAAAAGTTTAAAATATTAATTTTTTAATTTAATAATTTAATTATAATATAATAAATTTAAAAAAACTTTTAAATTAAAGTAAAGAAATCAGAAGTGTCAATTTATTTTTCTAAGTTATTGATTTCTTTTGATTTGAATTATAATTTTTATAATATTTAGATTTATTATGATTTAATTTTTATAATTTAACAATCCAACCCTTAAAAATAATGTTTATTTTTAAGATAAATATTATTTAATTATTTATAAACTTTATTTATTAACATAAATAAACTTTATTTATTAACATAATTATTTAATTATGTTAATAGTATATGAAACTAATTAAAAATTTGATACTAAATTAATATGATTATCCGACACAAGTGAAATTTAAAACAATTTCTTTATTTTAATCTAATTCAATAATAACATGTTTGATTTAAATTAAATTTTAAAAAATTATTTATTTATTTATTTTAAATAAATTAAGCACAAATTAAAAATATATAAAAATGCTCATAAATATTTATTTTTTATTTTTTAATATCCATTTTCTTTTTTTTTAGGTTAGTAGCAAGTAGTTTTGCCGGGAGAAAAGCAAAAATAGAAGGGGGAAAAAGTGAGTGAGTGAAATTTGGCATCAAATTTTGAAAACCACCCCACACACACTTTCACCCTCCATCAAACTCCAATTTCATTTCTCTCTCTCTTCTAATCCCAATTCTCTGGTCCCCCCTCCCCCATCCATGGCCACCGAAACCCTAGAAGACTCCAAGCCTCCGCTCCACAACGCCAAATCGCCACCGGCCTCCGAGATTCCGAAGAAGGAGGCTTCAGCGAAGCGGGGTTTGCCCTTGAGGGTGAGGGACTTGACGCGAGTGAAACGCGAGGTCGCACGGTTGGGGGAGAGGGCGTAGCAGTTCCGGTCTCGCCGCGAGGTCAGGAAGTGGAGCACGTTTTCCAGGACGTTCTCCAGGACCTGGTCCGGGAAGGGGGCGTGGGGCTCGGACTGAGCGCAGGTTCGGCTCTTGGAGGTCGAGGATTCCGCGATTTTAGGCTTGGGCATTTTCGTCGTCACCAAAACCCTATCGTTCGCCGCCGCGTTCTCTTGCTGGCGCTGGCGATTCCCTCGGTGTCGACGAAGGCGGGGGGATTTTCCTGCCGCTAGTAGCGGCGCTCCTCTCCGACGTTGCCAAACAGGTGAATGTATTTGTCATTTTGACATTCTATTGTCTGATGCTGTTTGTGTTGTTGTTGTATGGCTCAGGGTGCGCTTTATTTTGGAGTGGAGACACTTCTCTTGAAGTGTGAGACATGGCTTTCTGAGGCATTCTCACCTAAAGGGTTTCAATCTACTCAAATACAACTAGAGGACTTGATTCAAATTTGGAAATTTGGCTCGGCCCTTGGTAAAATTTGTTGTTTTTAATGGCAAACGTCATTAACTTGCAACTTCAGCCCTTGCTATTCTTGCTTTTGGCTATAACACCACACGGTTTATTCTAACAATTGTTATTTATTTATTTATTTATTTTAATGTATTGGCTTTTGCAGCAAGTGACTTTATCCTGCACTTATGTATGGGCTACCTAGCAAGAAATTTTGTATGTACTCAACTCTTTCACTAGAGCTTGTGCAATAAACAGTAATCTCATGCCTTGGAATGTTTGTTCAATTGTTAATCACGCATCGTTGTGTCTCTGTCTGCCCATAAATAAATCTTGTGAGGTGCTTTTACATACCTATTGATTGGACTATTATGTTCTGTAATTTCAGTTGCATTTATTCTGTTAGAAAGTCAGTTAGTGTGTTTGTTAGTTGCTGACTCAGCAGTGAGTCATAGGGCTTAGCTATATAAGGGTTTATCCTCTGTACTGCTTCTCTTAATGATGATCTCATAGTTCAGTTTCTCTCTGTTATGTTTTTCTCTAATTTCTATTATGGACTCAAGTTATTACTGAAATGTTTGTGCGGTTGTACATATATTATCATGTTAGCATCCCTTTGGTGACAATTTCTTTAGAGTTTAGAGTGGGTTTTCAGGATATGTGAATGTGAATTACAAAAACAAGATATCTCTGAGAGTTGAACTGAAACCTATACCCTTGATATAATGATTTGTTTTATTCATGCATAGTATTGTCCTGTGTGTGTGGTTTGTTTACTTTGTTTCCTGAGGATATGGTGCCACCAAGAGACTTGCTTTTCATACTACTGTTTGAAACTTGAGAGTCATATCTTGTATTTGTAAATTAAAATGGAATTGTGGTTATTAAAAACAGACTTCAATTGCTGAAGATACGATCATGATATTGTTAGTCAGATAAAATGCATATGGATATGTGAAAGGCAATTACCCACTAACCTCTTGATATTTTGAGTGAGCCAGTTTTCCTTTAGTTAATTTGTTTGATTTCTTCCTTTTCCTGTTGCCTAATTTAAAATAAGCTGGAAATAATCATATACATAGATGACCTTATTTTTAACAATTACTCATTTTCTAATCACTTATCTTTTTTCCACAGAACAAGGATGTAACTGAGGCAATTCAAAAGGTTGCTGCTGCCTATGACTGTAAAATTGTTGAGGGTGTTCTTAGCCACCAAATGAAGCACTTTGTTATTGATGGGAATAAAGTTGTCCTTAGTTTGTCTAATCCAGACACCAGAGTTGACGAAGCAGAATTTGAAGAGAATGAAGTTTATGCGATTGATATAGTAACCAGCACTGGAGATGGCAAGGTAGGTTAATTATATCAACATATTTACCAGTATAATACAATTTATGAATGATAATAAGTATATTTTCACTCTGTTGCAGCCTAAGCTGTTGGATGAGAAGCAGACTACTATTTATAAGAGGGCTGTTGACAAGAGCTATCACTTGAAGATGAAAGCATCTAGGTTCATCTTCAGTGAAATAAGCCAAAAATTTCCAATCATGCCATTCTCTGCTAGGTAATTGACTACTACCATTTCTAGTTGGTGTTCTAATTCTATTTCTATTCATTCCTCTGAAAAATTTGTTCTCTTTTATACTAGGGCTTTGGAAGAGAAAAGAGCTCGTCTGGGTTTAGTGGAATGTGTCAATCATGAGCTCTTGCAGCCATATCCTGTTCTGCATGAGAAGCCTGGTAAGGAACTTTTGACCAAAGTTTAGTTAGATCCACATCTTGTCATCTATGTGAGCCTTCATGTCATGCATTTTATTGGATGTTTTTCAGGTGATTATGTTGCACACATCAAATTCACAGTCTTGCTAATGCCAAATGGATCCGATAGAATCACATCTCATCCTCTTCAAGAATTGCAGCCCACAAAAACAGTAGATGATCCCGACATCAAGGCCTGGCTAGCCTTGGGCACAAAGACAAAGAAGAAAGGTGGTGGAAAGAAGAAAAAAGGTAGGCTGAAAGAGCATGCTTCTGTACTATTTTATTCCACATAACTGCATCATTTGCACGGTAAAGTTTCTATGTTCCTTGTGTCAAATGGCTAAAAAGTAATGCTTTGGGATTTTGCAGGTAAGAAGGGGGACAAAGCAGATGAGTCAGCTGAAGCTGAGCCTATGGAGTCAACAAATGGGGCTACACCTCAAGATTGAGTTTAACCCTTTCCTTCTCCCCCAATCATGGAAGAAGTTTTTCATTTCATTTTCGACACCCCCTTTTCAATTTTGGTACATTGGTCACCAAATTGTATTTGCTTGGATATGAATTTTAGTATAGTGTTCAGACATGGATTCTGATAGCAATTTTTCATTTGCACATTCTAGTCGCAAATATTAACTTTTGACAAAAAAAAAAGATTTTGCTTTGAAATTTGTTTTTTTCTTGGTTTTTTTTAACAAGTGTAAAATTGTTTCTAGTCTTTCACTCTAGGTAGGCCCACTGTGCCTAAACATTTAGAAGGTGAAATTAATATATAAAAATGGATGCAGGACTGATGTAAGAAAATAGTGATAATAATAGGGTCTATTTCATTCTTCTATACATATTTGAATATTCGATAAAAAGAAATTAAGCATGAAGGCAAACCTATCTTTCGAGTGTGTGGTTTAATGCTACATATTTTAAAAGATTTATTAGCAATAACCAGTTCTTTTAAGATTTTTGTTTTCAGACAACCTTTTGGAGGGACTAAGAAGTTGTTCTAAGATCTTTTCCTGTAAATAAGAAGTGTTTCCCATATTAAGTTCTCTAGTTTCGTTTTATTGAAAACATTTTATTCTTAGTTGTGACCAAATAATTTAAAAGAAAATTTGAATCGAATAAGAGTGATTATATTAATAAAGCCTAGATTTTAAACATGATTAGGCTTTGCTTTCAGGTAGGTTTTTTCTCATGCCTGATACCCTCTAGACCTGTCCTTTGCACGACCATTTTTACTCTATACATCACTATTTAGTAATATTTTGATTGAAGTTCATAATTGATCAAATAATTTAAAAGAAATTTTGAATTGAACAAGAGTGATTATATTTGTAAAACCAAAATTTTAAACATGACTATTCTTTACTCTTAAGGTTTTTTTTTTTTTTTTTCAAGTCTCCCTTGTAGATTGTCTGTTTTGCATGATCGTTTTGACTCAACTCATCACAAATTTCTTTAATTTGATAGAATTCTACTCAAGCAGAATAGAATTATTATGAACACGAAAGTTCTCATGTTTTGGGTTTTTAAAATTAAATGATTATTTTTTTATAAATAAAATCGCATCTTTTAGTGCCTTGCTTGGGGTTTATTTAAGGGTTGGAACCTTGAGTTTTCATTTTGGATTAAAAGATAACATTCTGCTGCTTATCTAAGCAAATCAGAATACATTTTCAAGACCAATATACCATTTTACTGGATATGATATTTGTGTATGTTATGTAATGAGAGATGATGCATATTTCTTGTGATATTTCAGTGAGGTGTACGTTATGCTACGTGATTTTCCAGTTTATCCCACTTTGACTAAACAAAATCCAGTATTAAGATTGTCTTTTGGAACCTCTCTACGATGGCATTGTTTTGGCTCACTTCCTCATGTTTAGATAAATAATGTTCGAAAGTTCATTTGTTAGCTTTCTATTATTGAAATTTGATTACTAATACAGATACCATTCAAGATTTTATTGCCAACGACTTTCGGTTGATACGCAGTTATACTTCAAGAAGATGCTAGACAGGATTTTATTGCCAAAAGCTTTTGACAAAATAATTTTACTTATTTGCTAGCTTTTGGATCGATGAGTAACTTCTATCACTTTACTTGATTCAACAACTACCCCGATTTCTTTTTAATATTTTTATAATCGAACCACATGTTAGTCTTTCTTTAAATAGCATATGCTTTTAGTTTTCTTTTATTTTTTTTTCTTTTTTAATCTCTAATCATGGTTTTAAATTTTTATTTTGTTGGATATGTCTATATAATTATATGTGGTTATGCATGTTAGTACTAAGTTTTGGATATACAGTTGGATTAAATATTCAAAAAGAAAGTTGTCATATAATAATCTTATCAAACAACCTTATCAAAAAAATACTTGTGGTTTCTAAAAAAACATGGATATTTAAGACTTTCATTACAACTATACAAAAAATTGGTCGAATTGCATGGAAAGTAAAGTCTTTAGAGTTTAGATTATGTCATAATAATAATAATACGAGGAGGTTAAACACCATAGAAATCTCCATAATGAATTATTATGATACCACATTTTAATCTATTAGACATCAAACCTACGAGCCTTTTTTATGAATGTCTCTCTCAATACATCCAACTTTATACGATGTTCGACTAAAATTCATGGTTACACACTAACATATCGATCTCCATACAAAACCAAAACAAGTCACGAATACTTGCAATAAATAACTATTGAAGATGTAGTAATAGACGATAAAAAACTATTAAAGGTGGATAAGAAAAAGATAAGCAAACCATAATAATGGGAAACAAATATGAAGAGATAGATAATGGAAAAAGGGTTCAACTTATCTAAAAATAATAATATAAATGGATGAAGATATGTCACTGGCAACCAATTCTGACTATCTTAATGCAGGAAAAGGACATGTCAATCTATCTTGATCCTAATGCAAATACAATGAATAATGAACCAAATTATAATAGAAAAAATCTTAGTTTTGGACACGCAAACATTACAAATACTCCATTGAGACTATTTTTCTTATCATTAATCATGAATCATATAAATAATTTATTGAACTGTTTGCTCTTGTCTTTCTCTGTCTCTTTTGAGTGCCTGCTCCCCTTAAGTGTGCAAAGATTTTGTTATCAAAAAAAATAAAAACAAAACCATCCTTAGAGGTTATAATCAATATGGGATTTTTTTAATAAAAAACATACTCATATTATTTCATATTGGATGGTGCTTCCAATACAAGGTATGAGTAGGGATGAGGGTTAAATTTAGAGGGTCTTGTAATAGCATGAGCAATGAAATTATTAACCCTAACATTCTGTTTGACAACAAGAAAAGAAATATGATAGATGAAAATAGAATATCAACATTGTTTGACAGAAGTAGTAGTAGTTGTTCTTTAATCAAGTTATCCTGAATTTGAATCATGACTTTAGGTTTGAAATTAGACTATGTTAAGAGATAAATACTCACTTTGTGTGCTCTTATCATTTTTGACAGAGATTAATTACTATTTTTGACAGTAGATATTTTGTATTAATAACATGATTACAAAAAATTGAAGAGAAATAAATAAAAATAATAATAGTAGCAGAATTTTGTGCTTTTTTTCTCTCTTTTGATCCATGGAAATTACAATGATGATATTAGGATTCAAACCTAAAATTTTGTGTATATATTACTCAAACTTCCACTATAATTTTGTGTTGCATGTTTTAAAGAGAAATAGAGGTAAAATTAAAAAAGAAATGCTTATTTGGTGTAAGATGGAAGGAGAAGAGACAAATATAATAAAAAATAGAAGAACAATTTTTCCCTTTAATAGCTCACATATAAACAATTGAAAAGCTCACAACTCTCATTGCAAAAATCAATTATGCGGGTAACAGTCGACTATGCATTGATGTTGTTGGGATACAAACAAGTCCCACATCGATAAAATAGGATAAGAAATAACAACTTATATAACACAAATGTATTTCAATGATTGAGAGGCTTTTTCGGTGATGACCAAAAACAAAACTGTGATAGCTTAGGCCCAACCATAAAATAACCCCATCAGTGGTATATGAAAGGTTAGGTCCCTTGTTTGAGGAGAGGATTGTTAGGATACAAACAAGTCTCACATCGATAAAATAGAACAAGAAATAGCAACTTATATAACACAAACATACTTCAATGATTGAGAGACTTTTTGGGTGATGACCAAAAACAAAATTGTGATGACTTAGGCTCAAAGCAGACAATATCTCATCATTGTGAAATATGTTTGTGTAATAACCTCATAAAATATCTCGTTAGACAAATACCATAAAATAATCCCATCAGATGTGTGGCAAAATGTCATTATCAACCGATTTCAACGTTTTTTTAATTCAATCGTGAGACAGGGGCAAATACACGTTTACCCGTATGGAGATAATAAGATTTTTTTTAATAATTATTTTTGCTCCCATAAAAAAAAATATTGAAATTATAAAAAATGGTCTTATTTCCCTTTATCTTATTAAATTTTGTCATTCTTGTTATTAACTTATTAAACAGACGGAGTTTCTAACAATTACACAAACACATCCCTTAAAATTATGTAGTTTGTAAAAACTTATAAAAATTTTCTTCCATGAAAATATTAAAGATTATTTTCCACCCCCACTATAAAAATTTCTAGACCTTCCAACATACGAGAACCATCACTTTTTAATTTCTCTCACTATTTCACCTCAACTAAATTTTAATTTCAACTCTATTTCACTATCCCATGTTGAGTAAAATTATTGCATGGAATAAAATCAATTTAGAGCACAGTAGAAGTTGTACTTGAAAGTGAAACAATCTATTTTATAGATGTGAAACAATCTTTTACACAAAACATGATCGTGCAAACTGTTTATTATTAGTGTTTTACTCCTCTACGTATAGATTGGTTTATAATTGTAAAACTTCGAATGCAAAATCATACAGTTGCATGAAGCTTCTTTTAAAAAAAATCACCTTTCCGGAAATACGAGGTATTAATATTTTCATGCCGTAACCTCAAATATTATGCTCTGGGCTAATCTTTACGCGGATCTTATGCGTAAAAACGCCTCTAGTCCATCAACTGAAAAAGATATTTCCACTTTAAAACATTTCATAAACCAAACTTTAAATCAAGAAATACACACTTTCTCGTTACTTAATCACTTCTGAATAACGTAACACTTCAAATCATGAGTAAACCCTTCGATCTCCACACTTCAGTGTGGCTAGTGACCATTAACCAGTTACAGAATCAACTTATCATTTGATTTAAGTGAGAAATGCTAGGACAAACTCTCTTTTCATTGGTTGATTGAAATTTATTGAATACGAAAGCTGGTGAGACTCATCCTATTTAATGACCCTCAATTTTGTGATTTTCAATAAATTCTGACCAAATAAGAGAGTACGTTACTAACTACTCTTGATTTAAAGCAACAGTGTTGTTTGAGGGATGTAAGAAAAGTATGAGTGTACAACATTCGCCAGGGTAAAACCTGCAATTCAAAGAACTTTTGGTAAAATTTGCACTACACATCCAAATCTGTCCAAAATAGCATCTACAAACATTTCACATTTCCTGTCATTCTCGGTAAAGTAAATGAACACTATGGACTCGATGCTGCCCCTTTCTATAATATATAATAAAGGAACAGCATCCTATTTACAGAGTTTCACGCTGCCAACAGGCATAGACAAATGAAAATGATTATAATGGGGGAAAACCATGACCTGGAAACAATTTTAAACAAGTGTCAAAAACCACCAGTCCAAGTAATAAGCTTCAATATCATCCTGGAAAAAAGAGATTTTTAACGTCAGATGCAACTAAAGAAATCATGAATGACAATTACCCATTGTCACAGTTTTCAAACATAGCCACGCACAGTAATTTCAATCAACATATCATTTCAAACAAGTTGGTCACACTGTCACAGTAAGTAATTTTCTTTTTGATCAGGTCATTGAAATGTCTTGGCCAGATAAAACTGCAATGGGCAAATGGAGAAGAAAAATGGAAACTGGAAGCAACCAACCAGAAGATAAGCAATCCTTTTGGACACTTAATCATCGCCATCACCATGAGTACACATCTAAATGCTTCTCAGTCTAATGATTTATTATCCAATAGGTTCATTGCTATTGTTCTTGGAAGTCAAAATTTATACGGCCTACAATTTGAAAGTAATTCTGTATGACTGATCTTATCATCAATCTTGTGTCACTCAAGTTAAGGGAAACAGAGAAGGGCCAACTGTTAAAGTTTAGTATAAAACCTAACACATCAGGGAATTGGTCGCCGGGGAAAATAAAATAAAATTAGTAAAAACAAAAGGGGAGGGGGTAGAAAAGCAAAGTAGATGGACATAGAGTGGAAATATACCCTATAAGAAGTATCAATCTATGAACACAAAAACTGAGAGCCTGCACATAGCACCACCAGATCACAAGAATTAAATGTCACCCAGTTATGGCATCTTTAATGCCTGCTTCAACTGTGCAAATGCAGACGGATGCATACTGCTCATGGCAGCATTGAATGATTCTCCATGAATAGCAGCACAAGTTTGTAGATTTTCTTTCACACATTCCTCAAGGGACAGTTGATTGATACTGTCTGAAAATTTGATCTAGTGACAATAAATAAATGCATTACTTCCTTTGTTACTCTCACGATGTACATCATTCTAGAATGGAAATTTCTTCTAGTTTTCATAGATCTGTTACCTGTCTTTTTCTGAATTCTTTACTAGGAATAGTGCCCTCATCAGGAGATGCACTGGAGCCCATGTCACCACTGTTATGGAAAATAGACAAGAAATACATTTGTAAAACATGACTGAATGTCATAAAACCAGGGATAACAAATCCCCCTTTATAGTTTCTAAACTGTTGAGTTCCCTTCAGAACTATGGTTACCGGTAATGAGTAAAATACATTGCCATTCAAGAGACTTGCCATAACCAACTATTGTAAAAGCTTAAGCTATTAAATGAAAATACATGAATGGTGTTTATATTAAATCTCTGACAAGACTAAACACAAAATAGCAGAAAACACAATGAGAATATCATGACCAAAATTCAGACAAAGTCCCTGCTTACTACTCCTCTTTCCAGAGTGCCAAAAACAGACCAAGTACAAAATACTAACCTGGACTCTTCTTCAGTTAAGTCATCATTTCTTCCCAAAATTACACTAGTGCAAACACTGCACATCAAAACATTTACAGGGGTCATTTGCTTCTAATTTGAAAACAATGAATAATATTTAAAGTATTACTACCTTAATATTTGATCAAGTTTGTCAAGTACTTGGGGCAGTCTTAATGTCAGAATTATTGAGAGGGCTAAGCCAATTGTCTTCTTCTGGATGGAAGAAACATTATCTACCTGGAAAATTATATACATAAATACACAGTAAAGGAAACAACATTAAATAGACCAAGAAACAACATTATATTACAACTAAATACTGAATAAAAACATAATCAGATATTGATTTTAAGAAATGATGCGAGATCCTAAAGCATATTTCAAATGACATCATACAACTTCTTCCAGCAATGGGAAAACACGTTGCTCCCAGCCCCTTCACATGGTAGTGCATAATAAAAAGTAAATGTATTGTATGCAGCAGAGTAGTGAACATAAACTAGGCCAACGTACTTTCCAGAATTATACTTCAGATACAGATATATACATCAAAAGACACAAATATAAATCATTTTACAGCTGCGCATTAAACAATGCAACTCACAGGTTTGTCTAAAAGCACAGACAATATACAAATGTGCAATATATTTAGAGCCAAACATTGTCTCTAAAGCATAACTACACCAACCTTATCAACCCAAATGTCAACCAGACAAAGAAGTATATTTTCTTGAACAGGGATAGAAGCTGTCTGAAGCAGTAGAGAAGTCGATGGATCTGATGCTAATTGGGCAAGTGAATTTGTATTCATAACCAAAAGCCTAGCCAGGATGGCAGCAGAAGATGCTTTAACAGATGTTTTAGAAGGATCATGATCATCTCCTCCACTCAAACATATTACAATTAACTTCTGGAAACAATAAAAAATTCAAGGGCTTAAATTTTTTTTTCTAGATTATGTACTATGAAACATTAGTTGATCGGCGCATAGTTTGATTTACTATAACATCTTACAAGAATATAATTAGACTTACTTGTAAAGTACTGCTAATAAGTGGCGGCACTTCCATGGGGAAACACTGTAAAAAGGCAAAATCAAATAATAAAGTTTTTGATGACTTTTAAAATATATTATGACAATAAGGCAAAATTATCATCCAACTTATACCAAGACCAAAAAGAGAAAATTACAGAATACTATATTCATAATTTAGTCACAAGAAATTATAATTCCTAAATAGGCTATTCCACTAGATCAAAACAAAAAACTTACCAATTGACTTGAGAACTAAATAAAAAAACTTAGTTGCCAAAACTTTTAAGTTAAGCTATAAAAATAGTAATTTAATTAGCTGAGCATTTGGACGGATTTGTTTCTCAAAACCCTAAAAGGTGGCACTAAACCATTAACTCTTAACAGGAGGCATATCATATATCAAAAGTACGGATAGTTCATACTGATCACCGTTAAGTTTGAAAATTGACTAGTTTGGAATGCATACCTGTACTAAGATATCAACCACAGGAAGAACTGAAAGAAGGCCTTTGTTATTGACATTTCCAATAACTAAATCAAGAATTTTAGCAATATTTGTTGCATGCATACTCAGAAAGTCATTTCCACCCAAAATTATGTAATCTTCAATTATATTCACTGCAACCTGTACATGAGATAAAGAGAATGTATATAGAAATATAACAAAGATATTAAAATAAGGTCAACAACTGGCTGTTTGAGGTGGGCAGTAACTAAACCAGCAAGAATATGTAACACCAATAATGATCAGAAGCCCAAAAAGTTATCAAGTTGATAAATACAGCACAAAGCAGCAGGATTCCATTGGATAAAATTTTGATACCTCCAACTCAAAAAACTGAATGATTTCATTTTTTAGCATTAGGCTGTTACTGCTGTACAAACTAGATAGTGGTCGAGTTATATGGAAACCAGCCAAAAGAAAACTAAATTGATTTGACTTCCATATATATCAGATTATACGAAGTCCCTTTTTCTAGTACATATCCAAGAATAATTTCCGTTAGCGTCTTTAACAGACTTGGTTCCTAATGCATGAGGCTCAACAATGCTATCTAACCAATTCTTACACATAAATCATTGATCTTAAAATTTTAGAAGGTACAAAAGTGGTGGCAGGCAGGGGGAACTTGAATAGAAGGAATAATATAATTAATTCAAATTCAAACATTATGTACATCATATAAACACAAACATAATATAATTATTGCAAATCGCAATCCAGCAATCATGCAAACTGAAACTTTTACAACACTACTACATCCTTGTGCCACTAAAACAATCGTTATCTTTCTCTTGAATACAGATAACATGGGTAAATAGTAAATTGAAAATTCATTAGAGTATGGAGTAAGTCTAACCTGTAAATGATCAAAATTTCTTTCCATAATATCCACAAGGCGTGAAAAATATTGTAACAATTGAGGCACCATTGATGGAGCATGAGAAAGTGTGGCTTCCCATAACTGAAAGGTTATGCAAATTTTCATGACATATTCTCTCACATCAATAGTACCATCTAATTAGTAAAAACAAGACAGCAAGATTACCAGCATGCTATCTTCTAAGAGATTGAGTTCGTCAGGACTATTAATATCAATCCCATTCTCCAGAATTGGCAGTAGTATATTGTAGCAAATGGGTGACTGGTAACCAAGTGCAACCACAAAGTTTTTCAAAGCAACAAGAAGCTGGATCTGCAGCAGACTTTCACCAGAAGATTCCTCCCAGACCTTGCCATAACAAAAGCAATTGAAGACAAACATATTTGATTTTGATTAGTCTGGGATTTAACTATAATTACTTTGCTATGTCACTTACAGGGTAAAAGCTAAACAAAAATAAAAAATGTGATTAAAATGTTAGTATATTTTATATGTATTGTACCATCTAAAACCAATTATTCTAACTCCTATGGCAAGTGATTCAGATAAGCAGGAATCTTGAAACATAATGTTAAATAAAATTAATCAATGCTTAGGAAACTTCATGCTAGAGTTCATGTAGCCATGTAAACTACAATTTGTTCCTATTCTAGTTACTGATACAGACTGCAGATAAGCCATTAGGACCAGGAGCACTTAAATATCAGTTTTATCATGTTTCACCCCCAATGCACACAATTTATGCACAGCCAGGTCGTCTACCTCAGTCAAGTTCTTCAATATCCTGTTTCAAAATCCCAATTTTTTTTTCTTCTTTTATTGCAATTCCTGCTTTGAAAAGTGAAGAGAAATGACCACCACACATAGTCTGCCTAGTTAAAGAAAGACCAATCTTAAATTCTTACTTTCATTCTTTTTTCATTTTTCTTGAAAAAGGAGAGAATGTAGCAAACAATTTGGCCTGCCGCCCATTTTTAAGAAATTTTGCACTGTTCTGTTGCCCCCCACCCTCTCCCTCTCCCCCTAATGCTGGTCCTCTCACCTCTGCTGCAGTGATTTGTGGTAGTTCTATGCTGTGTAATAGGTGTGTACGTGTAGTCCAATAGTTCATTACATGTCAGCTATCTTCTTAAGTTTATATTTAAAATTGTCAATCATATCAGAAGTTATTTGACTTTAAAAAGCTAATATCTTGATATTTGTAATGTTTCGTTAAGTGAAAAATATGTGCTATTTTATTATTGATCAAGAATCTCTTGATTTCAAATATGCTTTGATTTGTGATTTGTGAAAAAATATATGCTATTCTATTTCAAGATATGCTTTGATTCATCATTTACAGAAAAATAAAAAAATATATACAACTTTTCTTTTCATGTGAACCTAACCAAGTAATAAAACACAGGTTAGTAAACAAAATAAAAGAAAAGACAGGATATTTCTTATGTTACCTTCTGAAAAAACTGCACCAACTTGTTTGCAAATGGAATAACTTCACTAACATGTCCAATAAGGATAGAGATCAAATTCAAAACCTGAACCTGAAGAAATATTTAAAGGAAAACATGAACAACTCACAAATAGGAGCAAATGTTGAAAGAAGAATCAGTTTCAGATTATAATTTACACTATATGTTTGCTCTTGGCATGCAGATATATTCCAGTATCATGGAATAAAATGTAACACGCCTGTGTAGTCAAAGGCACTTAGAGGTTGAGGTGATGCCCCTTTAGAGAGGCACACATCTCAGCTGCCTCAGACAAGATGCTAGCCTTTAGAACTAACTGATAACATACAAATCCAAAAGCCCACCCATCTAACTTGCTAATTAGGATGCTAGGGAAGTCAAACAATGATTGATCCATGCTAGCGAGTCAACTGTAACATCCTAGCTCGCTGCATGGATCAAACAATGTAATTGGGATTGGGATCAACTAAAAGCCAAATTTTTGGCAAAACTATTTAAAGCAAAATCTAGTTGTAACCAGATGGACAAACATAAAACAGGCTAAAGAGAAATGAATACAGAAATTATTGTGGTTTAACCTACGGTGAACGATGACCTATTTGCTACATTCATCAAAGGGGAAAACATAGAAAGATCATTATTATCAATGCATATTTTAAGGAATAGCCACCTAGCACTAATAGTGTAATCCCAATAGACCCAATTCCTCATTGTTGCTGAGGTTTTACAACCTTAGCTTAGTATGAGATTTAGTACACTACACAACCCTCTGCTTCAACCACAAAATGCCCTTGAAAATTGCTTGCCAGATCACACTGCAGGCCATTTGTGTTGGGTCACATGACAGGCTAGGTCCATGAATTTTAAAACCCCAACCAAGGCTCATTATTCCTTCTGTAGCCTGCATGACACCTTTCAAACAGTGTCTAAAAGAATCTATTTTACCATTAAGAAAGAAAAAGTTGCTTAGCAGTAGTATTTACCTTTGAGTCAAATTCCTGGACTTCCTCAAACAACTTAAAACACGAGTCCCAACAGACAGGAAGAAGATCAACAAACTCCCTCTCTGAAAAGTTTGCATCTTCAATATGTAAGCATAGGGATCGACATGCTGCCAGCTAAAAAAATGCATGCACATGGTTAGTTCAAAACAAAATAATGAGGAATAGATATATCGAACTGACAGAGAAACATAGTAATGCTAATAGCAAAACATGTCTATGTAACATACCCGGACAGCTAAATCTTTGCCCTGTAACAATCTGATTAAAGAACAGTATACAGGCCTTTTTGTATCATCTTTGATCTGTTAAGGATAGAAAAGAATACTAAAGTGAATACTAATGACTTTTCCTTATTTGAAGGTTTTGAATTTCACAACTCTCAGGACATGAAAGAAACTAAGAAAGCTTCTTATCAAATCTTCTAGTAAAATTGAACTGTGAAAATTTTGAGGTTTATTCACAAAGCAACACAATAAATTATATACCTCAGAAACCCACTGCCCCAAAATTACAGCAACTTTACGATGAATGATACGTAAATTTGGATGCTCATTTGAGAGTTCGAGTGATAAAGCACCATTAAACCTGAAAACGTATGGTTTAGAAGAAATAGTCAGAATACTTTAAAATCTAGCGACAGCCTAACAGAAAAGGGTCTAATATCAAAAATATTTTAATAACTATGAAATTGAACTGTCTTAAAAAAACATAAATCTCAACCTTCAAATAAGTTAACTATAATGACTCGTTGCCTATTAGACTGCCTCAGAGCCTCTTTTGATGTGCATTGTTATATGTAGATCTGACTCAAACAGCGCCTCATTTAATTTTTCCACTGTACAGCTGTGTGATTATCTTGGAACAAACTTTTGGTGATAATGAGATTTGGGTATGTGGTATGTCATAGTTTGTTTGATTAGTTTATACACAGATGTCGTCAAGCGTTTGATAAAAAGGAAAATAACAAGTTGTGGCAATCTGCTGTTTATTGGACCTTCTGGTCTCTGTTGGAAAGGAATGCCCACATCTTCAAGGGCATATCCTCAGTCCTCACCACTAATTTGTTATGGGATATAATTGTTTTTATGGTGTTCAACTCATGGACCTTTTAGCAGAATCAGTATTTGAGAAATGCAAAGAGACTGGACAGCTCTCCTATACTGACTAGATGTTTGGAGTTCCCATTTTTTGTCTCTGTTTTTTCCTCTTTGCTTTGTCTTTTCTGAGAATTCAATTTTTTTTTTTAATTGAACAAAAAAGTTGACAAAACCTACCTAACTATTAGCTCCTCAATTTAATGATTCTTTTATTATCTACAACTTCACAAGTACCAGACATTGGATGACAATATTATCACACATGAAAAAGGGGTATGATGTTAAAATAAACTTCCCTCACATTCCCCCCCCACCCCTTCTTATGGACCTGGAAGAGGGGGGACATGCCAAGTATCCACTTGGAATCATGTCTTCTTTGTTCTTAGGACTATTTTATATGTATAATGCAATTTCAGTAGTAATATTCCAATTCACTTTGAAAATGCAATCATATGTTTTGTATAAGTGATCAAGGGATGGTAACTCATCATAGGATGAAACTTTGAACAGAGTTCCATTACAAGTAATGGGTGGTTCAGCGACTTCTTGAGTAGAAATTTGTATTAGCAAAGTCCAAGCATAATTGAGAAACAATTAATAAATGATATGCACAACAAAACTACAATGATCTTCAAATTTCTAGCAATGATAAGATCGAAATATGGATAACTTATGTAAATAAAGCATAGTAACTTTGAACTCACCAGTCTTTAAAGCTCAGATAGTTTGAGAGTTCATAATAAACATAAGCAGTAGCACCATAAACAGCATCTTTAAGAAGCAATGCAGGAGTAATCTCTGTAACTGAAGTTGGACAATTATTCATACTCTCTTGAAGAAGCGAAACCACAACAGGACCAAGCAACTAAAAATAACAGTCACAATCACACATCCATTTTAGTCTATAGTCAACATAGTCAACGATTGAAATATCTCAAAAAGAGAAAATACAAGACAACCTGTGATGTATAAATGGCACCTACTTGGCTATTAGTTTCAAACAATACAATGTACAAAGCCTCAGCACATGGCCTCAATTTTTCTGTCCACTGAACCATATCCTGTTCATGGTGAAAAGACTCGGGATTCCGATACCACTCTTCCAAATCATTTGCTGTCAGAACAAAATACCTGTTGGAAGATAAAGGCACTCTTTATGCAGGTAATAGAGTTCATATCATAGGGAGAAATATCACCAAGTCTCAAAACAAATTACAATCATGTGGTTGAGTAACAGTGGGTCATCACCTCCAAAATATAAGAAAATGGAAGTTTAATTTTATCTCTGTTTTCTCTTGCGTAACTGGTGAATTTCAAAACCTACATTAACTCCTTAATATATCACCCACAGCTCAGTCAATTATGTACAAACATACAACCACGAATACATTCAATATTCAAATGACACAGAAAAACTGCTGAACATGCTTGCTATCTCAGATTTTTCATAACTTAGATGAAAGCAACGGCTTGGGTTTTCCAATGCAGATTACCACTATGTTGCCTCAATATCATAACATTCTTGGAAGCAGGTAGGGTAGACATAAACTTTCAGGAGATTTCCACAAGTATATTTAATATAATGATTTATGATCTCTAGCTAAGTTATCCTGGTATTAATTATTTAAATCATTTAGCCTCCCTATCCATACCATTTTAATCTGAGGAAGAGTTTATCCTAAAACAATTTAGACCCTATATATATATATATACCTTTGAAATGCAGATGATTTCCTAAATATGTTCAATGTTCATCTCCACACACGCACAAAATACCATTCAATCTAGCAAAAAAGGGAAGATCTGAAGAATGACTACTAAAAAAGGGAAGATCTGAAGAATGACTACTAAACAAGGGATCTCTTCCACTGATTTGGAGAAACCAAAAAAGCTCAGGACATTCTTTTTTATAAATTTTACTCTATTTTCATAAAACTTAACATTCTTCTGGCCTAACACAAAAATAAGGCAAATACAAGTGAAATAAGCAAGCCAAGGAGTTGCAGAGTGAATACCTTGATATCAATACATTACACAAGTGGACTATTCGTTCAGTGGGAAGTAGGGAAGTTAAAACACCACCAACTGCACTGGAAATGTTTTTCTTCATCAGCTCCAGTGTAACTCCATTTTCATCCATCACCCTACCAGTAACACTTGGCTTGTACTCTTTACATTCCAGAATATTTTTAATCATCACCATACACTGAATGAGAAATTGCTCAAACGACAATAGATATGGCTCAGGATCTGTTATCTTATTCAAACAGATGTCCATGACGGATGAAAGCACAAATTTATCACCAAATGAATAAGGATGTCTGCCCTGAAAGGCAACTAAAATTTTCATCAATTTGGTACATGCCCTCTTTACAATGTCCCAAAATTTAGGATATTGCTTTTGGAAAGACGAATCTGTAAACAACCAAAATGTCTTGTAAGTATAAAAGGAACAAATAAGAAACATTTTATGCACAAGAGAAGGCAGAGTTAGATAAATAATATTTTGCTTAATGTTGCAGTATATATGAGAACTGGACATTGCAGATTGTAATGTGACGAAGGAAGAAAATATTAGCATATAAAGGTTCAAATTTTCTAGCTCAGCATTTCATTACATAACATATAACTACTATTTATTAGTTGCAAAAAACTGAAAACAAAAACTAATCTACTACAATTGTAGGCACTAAAAGATAAAGTAGATTAAGAAACGCATAAACATGGTCATAATGATATATGTTAAATATACAAAGCTGCAGCCAAAGATTAAAGAAATGGTAGTCAATGTATTTACTCATTGTGCTTTACAAAAACATCATTTTAAATTGACTCCTTATTTTATCTTTTCTTGTAAATCCACTATCCACCCCAGTATTTTTTAACTTCATTATGTTTATTTATTTTCTGATTTTCGTAGACACTTCACCATGCAACATCCACTACCATGGAGCATTGCTGATCTTGTAGCTGTCTGGAGAATTTTCATATGAATTTGTTAGGCACTTTCCATTAAAAGATTACACTTAATTTTTTCTCCATTTCATCCAGCCAGCTTGACAACCATGTGTGACATTATTCTTGCCACAACTCTAGAACTACTCCTCTTGACTCACTAACTGGGATTATATCATCCAACCTCTGGCAAAATGATGAATTAAAGCGTGCTTAGACTCACTCCTAAGTACAAAATCCAGCTCTAGGGTGTGCCTAAGTACATTCAATCCTCAGTTGGCCTATGGCACAAATATTCCATTACACCTCCACAAGTTTGTATACCAAATAAATGAAAATTGATTCATACCATGTTTGGATCCTCAAAATCCCATTCCAAGTTAAAAATATAGAGGGAAGTCCATTACACATTAACATTCTACAAAACTGTAACTTGACATGCTTTTATGTAGCACATGAGAGAAAGACTCTTGCCTAGGAACCAAATGATTATTAATGTTTTCATCTTACAACCATTTATAGATTGGTTGGTACTAACTTAAACACAAGGATAAACATATATACACAAGAAATATAAGTCTCACAGTATGGAAGGAGTGATTGAATGGCACTCAAGAACACAGGAGAGACTTCCTTGACTGGTCGAACCTCCTACAAAATAGCAATATAATGCCCAATACCTTAACTTTTGAATTAACTAATTTAAAAAATATAAAAGGGTGCTAAACCCTTCAAGGGCAGAAAGCAACATAAAAATTAAAACAAGTGATAGATAGATAATTTACCTGAAAACACTTTGAATCACTTTGAAATCCTGAAATAACTAATTGCCGCACAATCTTTGAACATAACAACCACCTCTCACATGTAAGATAAAGTTCATGAGGCTGATCTTCAGCATTTAAATTACAGTTTTGAGAAAGAGAGGAGAAACCATGCAGTATTGTCTGCACATCGCTTTGCCAAAGGCGCCAGCTATAATCAAAGAAATGGGATGATATCTGCCAAACAAATTGGTTGAATATTTGAATATATTATGTTATTTAAGCCATGCAAAGTACTAGATAGTAATCTTATTCTAGAAGAACCATGTCAATCAGATGCAGAATTTTGAGGCAGAAAGGTAAAGATGCAAAAAAAAAAGTGGAAACAAAATGGAATGCAATATAAACCACAACAGAGCCTATATGCTAGACCATATGTAATTCTTAAGGCTAGATACGAGCAACCATTTGTGTTTAAAAACAAATTAATAATAAAGTGTCAATCATAAAAAGTTAATGGAATTAAATACAACTTATAGCCCACACACCACCATTATCCTGCCTCTATCATTATTCATTATGAAGAATCTTTATGCTTGGTTATGATAGCATTAAGCAGTGACAAATTTAAGTTACCAGCAGCATCAAATGTTTTTATCTAGCTAATGTGGTAGATACATATAGAGACCACCTAAGACAAAACATGTAGCAATAAATTGGACTCAAGCACCTTGCTCTACTCAATACTACATATCATTTACCGATATTCCTCTTGTATACATTAAGGTCATCACCCTCTTGACGAGATTATATTAGAGTTATTAAAAGTTCCTCTTACTTAATGGTTGAAATTATCGACTAACTCAAAATTATTAATTAAGGTTGAAATTCAAAAATGATCCACAAAAGGCAATGTGACACTCCCATGCAGATATGCCTAAAATTGAAGAACACACTACGTTGAGTGATACACATCCCTTCCAGAACGTAAAACAAATTAAGCTACCCCTAAAGACCTTAACAACCAGATAGTTGGGACAACCTTTTAAGGGAGAGTGGCGATACTGCCTCCTCAAAAGTTAAATGTATCGAGCCATAGAGAGAGCCTTCAAATACCTACATTCAAGTTTCCAACAACTCACCAATAGAACCTCCTTGCTACCCTTGTAAGAACAAGTTAAAACATATTATGAAAAAAGTCCTGTATAGTGACTTTGGATATGTATTTCTGTTGCCAAGATATATTCATTATGCTGACGGCAAGTCTGTTTAAACAAGGTTGTATTTTTTATAGAAGTTTTTTTTTTCCTTTTTTTAGAGAAAAAGAAATACAAGATTATTATTGAGGTTTGCATGTTATTCCAATAATGACAGCGGATGTTTTGTAAGTTTTCAATGAACAGCATAAAGGCAAAGATCTAGACAGCTGAAAGCAAGAGAGAACAGAATAAAATTACAGAAGGAACTGCACCTCTGCAAAGTTGCGTTGATCTGATGTAAGGCGTTTTGTGGACAACTCCTTTAAGGTCCTAAATAGAATCAAAAAGATTCGGTGGGAGGCAAGAACATCTGCTGATTGAAGTTGTTGGGATAAGACCAAAAAAATGTCTGGCCTGAGGAGTCATTAAATTTGCATATCAATATATAGGACTTCCTTTAAGAAGAATGCTAAAATCAGAAAAATGCATAGAAGGCAAACATTAAGATAGCTTGTAACATATATGCAGAGCAAAAAACCATGCATGTCGATAATGCTTCTCAAAAACTAGAAAACTGAAACACTTTTTTTTGTACTAATATTAAAAGTCAATCATTTTAGAAGATATGACTTGAGTAAGAAATTAAAACCCATTAGACAAAACATTGCTATAATGCTAAGGGAGCTCATTAAGATAAATAATGAACCAGAACAAATAATGGTGAACCAATCGAACAAAGAAAGTGAGAAGTAAAAGGAGGGAGGGCGTGGGATTTCAATTGCAGTATTGTAAACACTCTAAATATTCTTGGACACCGAAGAAATAACTATGAAAAAGTACCATTCTTTTGGATAATCAATGCGAGCAATTTTGGAGATGAGCACTGCCAGCATCAAAGCTATCTGCATTTTAAAATGAAAGGAATTAGAAGAAGTGAATATCAACAACTCGTCACAATTCACAAGCAAAGCCGATAAAAATAAAATACTAAAAAAGCCGTCAAGATGCAGGCTGGGGTGAGGGATGACTATCATTAACCATGAAGTTTAACCAAAATCATGACAAAGTATCTACAATCAGACATTGATAGGTGAGCTAAGTAACTAATGAGCTTGGCATTGAGGTAGAAGTAACAGGACAACACTAAACAGAATCATAAAAAAGGTTTGTCTCATCAAGTACGAAATCACTAATAAGCACTATCCGAGACATACAACGCAGTCAATAAAAGAAAGAAAACTAAAAGCACCTGATCGTTCTCTTCTCTCAAGTACGTCAACAATTTCTGCCTCAGGTGCATTTTCTCCTCATTGCTAATCCCCCTGAACAAAACGAAGCAAAACACACATAAAAAGGCCACACTCGTATCCACACATTGTTGCATGTAAGTTTCAGCTACATTTTCACACAAAAACAACTTCACGGCTCGGTTTTCAACACTAAAAGAATAAACAAAAGGACCTCTCAGCAGCATTTTGATTTTGTGCAAAAAAAGTAACAGAAACAAACACTCAAATTTGAGAAGCGCTCACGAGGAATCGCGGCGATGGCGCCAGTAGCGGTTGACGCTGTTCTTGAAATAGACGGTGGCCATCATGCGCACATCCGTTTGCGGCGCCAAATCCTTGGCCGTAATCACTTCCTGCAGTTGCATTCACCGAAACGAAAAGCTCAAAACGAGACAACAGAAAGCACAATGCAAACTTCATCGGAACCCTAAGAGAGAGAAATAGAGCATTACGAGGAGGCAGGAGCAGAAGCCGGGCCTGGACTCCGATTGCGCAAGCGCTTCCTCCGCCGGACCGCGGAGGCGGTGATCGGCGCTCATGGAATTCGAGAGCAGCGAGTACATCGCCGGCACGTCGGAAGCTGTGAGCGCCATGGGTGGCGGTGGTGGTGAAAGAGAAGTGTCTCTTTCTTTGCGATTCGATTCGAAGAGTGAATGAGTGAGTGAAATCGGTGTTTTAGTTTAAGTAGGATTTAACTGCGAATGGAAGATATATAGAGAGAGAAGACGAGGTGTTTGTGTTAATGTTTGAGAGAGAGAGTTTGTTGAAGGGAAGGGTTGGGAGTGTGGAGAGAGCGATTAGCAGAGAACAAAAATGGGAGTGAGAAGGCTAATTGGGACCCATGGCGTCGTCATAAGCGTTTCAGATTCAGACCAAACAGCGTAGCTGCGCCATTTGCACCCTTTTCTGCCAACTCGGATTGCTTTTTCTTTCTTCCTTTTGGTCCATTCTTTCTTTAATTAGCCTCTCTAAAACAGTAATGGGCTCAGGTCATGTGTGAGTGCGAGTGTAACCTGGAGAGGATTCATATCATATCCATCTAGCACACTTGAACAAGGAAGATACACACTTCATTTTTTTTTTTTTTTTTTTAATTATGTAGAAAGAATTCATCACCAAGGAGTGACTAATCTTTGTTAAAATCATGAATATGAATAATTAAAAAAGTTATTTATATTGTTAATTAATTTCATATCATCGTTAGAATATTTTTTATTTATTTATTATAAAAATCAACAATTAATTATAAATAATAATTTATGATTAGATACGATATAAAATTGTTTAATACTTTAAGTGTAAATGTATCTCCTATTTTCTCTTTGTTATTTTAACATTGATATGACTTAACTTCCTTGGAAATTTAAACAGTTGAGTAATGAAAAAATATAATCATGAATTTTTTGTTATATTTCTAAGGAAACAATTGTGCATTCCCAAAGCTGTGTTCTCGCATTAGATTAAGAAAATGCTTACGAGTTCAATTCTTGGAAAATATTATGGAGGAATTTGTATGTTTTTATAAGTGTTGGCTTTGTTCACTTATTTTTGTCTAGGGTGGTGATAGTATTTGCTTGCTTCCTAAAAAAGGCCATGAATATTTTAATAAATTAATGATTTAATTGTTAAATTAAATTTTTTAATAAATAAATTAAAATTGTAATTTTTATAAAATTTAAAAATTATTTAATAATGTGTTATATTAATTTAAATTAATGTACATAAATAAAATTATATTATTGTTAATTTAAATTTATATAACAAAATATTGTATAATTTTTAATTTTTTTAAAATAGATCAACTCATTAAAAACTTTTATTCATATCAGAACTCATCTATTTACGAAAGTAAACATATATTCATACATCTCGTATAACAAGGAATACAACAGAACAATCAGAAGGTAAAATAGAAAATATTAGAAATATGTTTGTTTCTCATAGGGTTCCCACAGGAACCCACAAAGCACTCTAATTCATATCAAAACTTATTTATTTTCAAAATTAAACACACATTCACACATCTCTTTTAATAGGGAATATAACGGAATAGACAGAAGGCAAAACAGAAATATTCCTATTTTGCCTGCTGCTCATAGGGTTCTCTCAAGAACCCATAGAGCGTTCCAATTTATGCAATAAACATTTAAAATAACACAATTCACGTATATAATTATCATCACAATTAATTTTACTCATACAAGCACCAATGCACTCCCTTAGGGTTTCCCGTAAGAACCCATAGGAGCACCAAATTCCACAATCATAGCCTAAACAAAGTTTTTATTCATACATGCATATTAATTAAGTAATTGGAACATACAAGAAAAATATGACATACAACAAACACATGATTGGGGGCCAATCCCACTACCCAACATACAATCTCACACCCAGAGCGAGGTTTCTCACTCCCTCCCTTACCTCGATAAATAGGGGTTGAAACTGAAGCAGGATCTCCTCCTCCGGGTTCCCCTTGGTCTCCAGAAAGTGTAGAAGAAAAAGGGTCAAAAGTGAAAAAATGCGTTTTTCTAGAGTGTCGGAATGCATTTATAGGCATCAGAATTTGGCCAGAACGACCCGTTTTGAATTCGGAACGGCCCGTTCTAGGCACATAGAACATGTACAAAAGCCTCTTCCAGAACGGCCCGTAACGGCCCGTTCCCAAAGTGGAACGGCTCGTTCTGGGTTGAAATTATACCCATGCATGCTCGAGTTGGAACGACCCGTTCCCAAAGTGAAACAGCCCGTTCCGGGGCTATGAAAATCCAAAATCACTAATTAATTAATAAATAAATAACATATATATATATATCAAATTAAAATAAAATATCAATACAATTTAAAACATGATTTTCTTCAAATAATAATTATAACAAAATATCATAATTAATAATATTATAAAAAATAATTTTCATAAATGATTATTATTAAAAACCTTTAAAAATTCAATCAAACCCATTTAATTAATCAAAATAATTATAAAGAAATAATCTTCATAAATACAAAAATAAATAATAATTATTCGTAGTATTAGTAGAAAAATTCGGAGTGTTACACAAGGAGCATTTGTGAATTCGCAAGTTTTGTGTGTTGTAGTTTGGAACCCAAGTAGGGAGTGCAACAAGTCTAGAAGGTCCATATTTGATTCCCACTACATGAGCTAATGCTTCCAAAGATCGCCAGTGTCATAGTGTCACCTTGCACTTTTGATATCGTAAGAACAATTAGTTTATAAGGAAATCATGAACTATTAAAATGTCGTAGGTGAAGTTCACTAGGGGTGAGCATCGGTCATTTTTGGTTAAAAAAAATGAAGAATTGAAACAAATCAAGTGATTATACACCAATTTCAACCATTGTTTACAATCAAATAAGTTAGGTGTAGGTTGATTGGTAGAGAGCAAAGTCGGGTGGATACATACAAGTAGGGGAGAGAGGCATCAAAACGAAATAGAGGAAAAAAAATTACCCTATTCACTCTCTCGTTGTTGATACATCTTTCACCACACAAACCTTTCTATTGAAGAGAAACGCTGCAAACATGTCTATGTACCAAGACCTACTTTTAAGTGACAAGAATGGAATGTTGTGGGAAGTCGAGGGAAAAGTTATTAGAGGAACGACTTTCCTTTTAGATTGCATGCTAAGTTATTTGAAACTTTAACTTGGTATTTTGGTTCAATTACTAGATGTTTTATGCTTAAAAAAATACTCTAAAATACGCAGTTTTAAAATGGAAATATCAAGTGAACTATGTTTGTAAAGCCTATGAAAATGAAAAAGAAGGGAGATGAAGTGGAAGGGCTACTAGTTTACATGTTTTTCTTCTTTCTCCATCTATTAAAATGTATTTAATTAAAGCTCACAATACATATTTATTTAAAGCCTACAACTCTACATGAACACTAAACACCATCATTATTTCGTCTCATTTGAACTCTTATAAATTCAACTTCTTAACTTTTCAACACAATAATCGGTTGACTTTGGTTATCAACATAATAAAATTTAAAATCGAATATTCAATAATACCCATATTAACCATTTTTTAACTCATTCAAAGTCATTTACTCATCTGAACCCACTCAACCATCTATTTTTTCATTGATTGTATCGATTTTTGGTCAGGTGTCCAGTTTTTGCCCTCCCCTAGAGTTCACCAAGATCAGTCATAGTTAGTTGGTGATGTCACTATGCACAAAGTAGGATGCTTTAAATGGAAACAACATAGGTCAATTATGAGAGATGCTAAGTGAAAGAAAAATAGGATTAAATTCTTAAAGGAAATTTGGAGATTGGATTCAAATCACACAATATTTTAAATAAGATGTCAAATTTTTGTTGGTGGAACATGTGATAGGACACAAAAAAAGGATAATAGATTTGATTCCCCTATTTAGTACATTTAGTTAATAGTGATAATATATATATATATATATATATATATATATGTGTGTGTGTGTGTGTGTATATTATGATAGATAATATATATATATATATATATATATATATATATATATATATTATTTGAAATTCAATAGAAATATGGGAAAATTTATCACAATTGTGTAAACTTGAATTTTAAATTGAAAAAGTATGGAACTTAATGTATAATCTTTATACATACATCAAGAAACCAACCGTATTGACATAGGGAACCTTTGACATTCACTTTTATATCTATCTTTTGACATTATTCCAAAAAAAGTTTAAAGTGTTTTGTTAATGGAGTACTCACTGACTTAGCATTGCTCATGCCAAATTTGTTTAGAACTTTCTCAACATAGCTTTGCTGTGAAAACCATAGTCTCTTGGAGCTTTTGCCCTCTAAAAATTCATCCCAAGAATCTTCCTAATATAACCTAAGTCTTTCATGTGAAACTCCTTTCCCAACATGGCTTTTAACATAATAACATGACATAAAGGGTTAGCAACAATCAACATATCATCAACATAAGTAATAGCAAGAAAATAAATGAACCACCATCAAGACTTTTCACATGAACACAATAATTATACTCACAATGCATATAGCCAATTTGAAGCATGTAGGAATGAAATCGCTTATACCATTACCTTGGAGACTATTTTAAAACATGTAGAGATCGCTTCAATTTAAAAAGCAACCAACCTCGTCCAATTTCATTGAACCTCTTTGGCTACCTGTAGACCCCTAAAATTGTCCGGGTCGGAAATAAGACTCGAAGACTCTCGAAGATCAAAGGAAAGTCAGCCAAAGGGACTCTTAGAAGACCGTGGGATGACAATCTGTAGGTTTAGAGGTCTTAGAGTAGCAAAAAATAAGAAAGTGGAGGGAATGAAGCCCAATACGGCCTCCCAAAAGTTCAGTACGGCCGTATTGAACATTTTAAACTACAATACGGCCGCACTGAACTCAATACGGCCGTATTGAAGTTTCTGAACTTCAATACGGCTGCACTGAACTCAATACGGCTGCACTGAACTTCAATACGGCTGCACTGAACTCAATACGGCCGTATTGAGGTTTTTTGAACTTCAATACGGCCGTACTGAATTCAATACGGCCGTATTGTAGTTCAAAACTTCAATACGGACCGTATTGACCCCCAGAGGCCGTATTGCGCCTCATCCCTATAAATATGACGTCAATTGGACGTCATTCTACACTTTTACACTGAGTTTTAACCCTCTTCTTGAGTATTCTGGGTTTTTTTGAGCAGTGCTCTGCCTAGAAATCACTCGGAGAGTTGATCCGACAAAGTTCTCGAGTTCTGAGCTTTTTGCTTGAGTCTCGAACTGAGTCGAAGGGAAATCCTCCGGATTTCCATAGTTAAAATTTTCTAGGAGGGAGCGAGCGGGCTTGTAGAGCGAGGGAACGCCAAAAAGCTTCCCAGTTTTACTTGAATATAAAAGCACGCTTCAAAGGTTTCTTCTTAAGACCTTCCTTTTACTGCTTTCTGTGTGTATATTTAACTGTCATCATGTAGATAGTTAAGTTATAATTGTTTAGAATAAATAGGGGTAATTT